TGGTCAGGCACTGGCAGGGGCTGCCCAGGGAGGTGGTGGAGTCCCCACCCCTGGAGGTGTCCAAGGAAGGACTGGAGGTGGCACTCGGTGCTCTGGGCTGGGGGACAGGGTGGGGATGGGGCACAGGGTGGACTTGATGATCCTGGAGGGCTTTTCCAGCCTCAATGATTCTGTCTGTGGGGTTTCTTCTGGACATTCTGCTCCTCAGCACAGTCAGCAGTGTTTGGGAGCTGTTCAGCAGGGCTGTCTCTCAGCTCAGTTTTTCAGCCTGTGCAGATATGGCCCTGCTGCTGAGAGGGACAGTTGTACTGGGAGAAATTCAGTTTATCTGTTCAGCTTCCAAAAGTAATGTAATTGTTCATTTATTTGCATAACTCATCCCCATGCAGGACCTTAGAAAGGCTGGTTGTGTGTATGGCACTGGCAAACTGGCAAACCACACCCAGAACTCCTTGATATCCCAAAATGTGCCGTGGGTTTATAGACAGAGAGTCCTGGCTCAGGGCTGAGAGCTCAGCTGGGTCCCTCCATGAGCTCTTTGACTTTCAGAGGAAGAACTTTAAAAACTATAACATCCACGATGGAGTTGAAATGCTGCAATGTAGCTTCCAGGAGCTGCAGCCCAGTTTTGCCCCAGACACTGGAGCAATCTTGAGCTGTGACATGACCATCTCTCCCTTTCCAAGTCCCTCTGTGGGCTGTTAAACTCTGCTTGGGCTGTCAGGGTGAGCAATCTCCAAATGTTTCTCAGCCTGGTGTTGCTGCCTGATAACACTCATTTCACCCCAAAGCTTGTTTTAAAGCTTAATTCATGTCTATAAAAGTGACACTTAATTTCAGGGAAGTTTGGCAAGCTTCTGGGTCATGCCAAATTTATCATCTCCAGCAGGATCAACTAATACACAGCCTTCAGATTAGATGCTCTTTGGGCCTTTAGACAGGAGTCGAGCTGATTACTGTGAGCCTGTTTATAGTTGAAGGAATCCTTTGAATATTAGGCTGGAGAAATAATAAATAGGTTGGTTTGTTCAGCTTTAGCATCTGAAGATACAGAGGGACAGTGAGCAGTTCCATCAAGACAACACACTGGATTGTTTGGAAGGTGCTGTATCCAAATATTCACTTAGACTTATTGCTCCTGAGTAATATCCCTTAAGAACAAAGCAGTGAATGTGTGGCTGGGAAGTCCTGGCACCCACAGGTGCAGACTTGGGGCCATCACTGGGATTTGATTCCAGAGAATTCCATGGCAGAGCCAGGGGGAAGTTGTGGCAGAGCTGGTGGAGGAGTCGAGCTGCCCTGAGCTTCCTGAAGGGAAAAAGGGAAACAGGGCTGGAGACCCTCCAAGCTGGGTTTGGAGGGCATTTTTTCACGTTTGGTTTGAAACTTTGCAGTGAGGAAGTGACTGTCCCCCTGTGCTGGCACTGCACAAATCCTGGGGGCAGTTCTGGGCCCCTCAGGACAAGAAAGACACTGAGGGGCTGGAGCGTGTGCAGGAAAGGGAATGGAGCTGGGAAGGGGCTGGAGCAGCAGGAGCAGCTGAGGGAGCTGGGGGGGCTCAGCCTGGAGAAGAGGAGGCTCAGGGGGGACCTTCTGGCTCTGCAACCCCCTGACAGGAGAGGGGAGCTGGGGGGGGTCGGGCTCTGCTCCCAGGGAACAAGGGACAGGAGGAGAGGGAACGGCCTCAGGCTGTGCCAGGGGAGGGTCAGGTTGGACATCAGGAGGAATTTCTTCATTAAAGGAGTGTCCAGCTCTGGCCCAGCTGCCCAAGGAAGTGGTGGAGTCCCCATCCCTGGAGGGGTTTAACAGACATGTGGATGTGGCTCTTGGGGACATGGGCAGTGCTGGGTGATGGTTGGACTCGATGATCTCGGAGGTCTTTCCAGCCACAACAGTTCCACGATTCTGTGACACTGCTTGGTTCTTGCTTAACCTTTTGTACTTCCCTTTAGCCCAGACTCTTTTGCTGCCTCCTTCCCAGCAGCACAGCAAGTGCTTCAAGAAAGAGGCTGTAAGGTCTCTGCTCACCTGGAGCAGAGGTGTAAAAAGTGCCCAGCCTTGGCCACTGATATTTTATCTCACTCCCAAGTGTCAGGGCAGCACTCACTGCGTGGCTTTAGCAGGGTGACCACACTCCTCCCCGTTTCCCCCGTGGTGAAGGACCCAAGTTCTCTGCACAGTGGCTTTAGGGAGTTCTACAAGTCCTGCTGTTCCCTCCTGTCACCACAGCTGGGCCTCCTGGCAGCAGCCAAGATGAATAAACCCCTTCTCATCCCTCAAGCTGGCTGCAGTTTGTGGGACTCTGTTTTTAGTGTTGAACAGGGGCAGTTTTCCTGGCCTTGAAAGGAAGCTGGGGCTGCTCCACATGGTGGAAGTTGATTTCAGTAACTGAAGAGAAAATGCTGGAGCTCTGGGCTCCAGTGCTTGGCATCTTGCTCAGTTTAGCTGCTTCCTCTCTCTTCCCTCAAACAGCTCAGCAGCAAATCTAGGAGAGCATGTCCTATTTCCAATTTAAGTTTCCTCCAAAGCCCATTTTAAAGCAGCCATATTACTTCTACTGACAAGTGATCTGTGAGGGAATAATCTCCCATGAATGCTGTTGCTGGATTTTGAAAAATGGCAAAAATAAGACTTGGGGCTGTGCTGGTTGACAGCAGAGTCTGGCTCAGGCAGCTGTATTAGAGGGAGGAGGAATGCAGCATTCCTTTGAGCTCTCATCCAGAAATCCTGTAAGAGCAGGAATTTTAGCAGTGCAGGGAGGTCTCAGTTGAGATTAGACCTTGCTGGACAAGCCTGTTTGCAAAGAAAAGCTGAAGGTCTGGGCAGGGCAGAGCCAGGGTGGGGGAGATGTCGGGTCACAGCCAGATGCAGTTGTGTGTGTGTGTGGCTGTGCCACTGGAGAGTGTCAGAACCTGCCACAGGGTCTTCTGAGTGTCATCCAGTCCCAGGGAAAGGTGTCCCCAGTATTGGTTGTGGCTTTGGGGACCGTCAGTTCCACGTTAGAAGAGCTGACCATGGAATGGTTTGGGTTGGAAGGGACATTAAAGATCATCCAGTGCCACCCTCCGCCATGAGCAGGGACACCTTCCACTGTACCAGGTTGCTCCAAACCCCATCCAACCTGCCCTTGGACACTCCCAGGGATGGGGCAGCCACAGCTTCTCAGGGCAACCTGGGCCAGGGCCTCCCCACCCTCACAGGGAAGGATTCCTTCTAATATCCCACCTAACCCTGCCCTCTGGCAGTGGGAAGCCATTCCCTCTTGTCCTGTCACTCCAAACCTTGTAAACAGTCTCTCTCCATGTTTCTTGTAGCTCCTTCAGGTCCTGGAAGGCCACAATTAGGTCACCCTGGGGCTTCTCTTCTCCAGGCTGAACAATCCCAACTCTCTCAGCCTTTCCTCCCAGCAGAGCTGCTCCATCCCTCTGGATATTGGGAATTATTCACTCAGAGAGGCAAATGTTGCAGTATTGTCCATCCCCACAGAGCAGGAGGGAGATGGAGCCCAGGCCATGGGAGCAGCCTGGCTCTGAAGCCCCCAAAGCCTCACTTCCTCTGGCACTTGGGCCCGTTGCCATCTCACAGAGGGTCCTGCCGGGCACCTCCTCTGTGCTGCTGTTTGTGCAGTGTCCTGTGTCACCTCAGGCTAAAACCACCTGTCCTGACCCCCCAGCAAGGTCAGAGCCAGTGTGAGGAGCTGGGATCAAACCCCAGGTGAAGCAGGAGAGGAGCCTGGGCAGATCCCAGCTGGCTTTGAGTGGCAGAACCAGAGCACTGTGCTCCCCCTTGCCCGTGTGTGCCTTCACACAGTTTAACTTCCACCTGGTGCAGCTGTTGTGGCATCTGCTGGCACTGTCCTTCCTGGCTGGCTCCCTGCCCTTGGAGGTGTGGGGCTCTTTGGGATGCAGTCACTCTCCCTGGAATCTTGTGCCAGAGCTGCCCAGGGACAAACAGGCAGGGCAGGGAATTGTGCTGCTGCTCCTCGGAGGAGCTGAAGGCCAGTTGTGCTGAGCAGGAGACTTTTTTCCCTGTTCAGCTCCTGCTGGTTGGCAGGAAGAAGACCTGACAGCTAACATTTGATATTTTTTTGCCCCCTAAAGCAGGTAGTTGGGATGTGCTGAGTTTGGGGCCAGCCAGGCCAGCGCCACAGAAAAGCTGCCCTGTGAGTGACACAGCGAGGCATCACAAATCCCTCTTATTTTTATGCTGATTTTGAAGTGACTTTTAATCCTTGAGACATATTGGCCTCTAAGCACTTTTTTTTCAAAGAGGGAAATAACCCAACTCGAGCAGTTTGGGTAATAATAGCACTTAGTGCTTAATGAGTGTTGTGGGATTAATCCTCCTGGAGCAAGACATTTAAATGGAATTGTGTTGATCTTGGGAATGGGGCAGTGCTTTTCTCTGGGCATGAAGTAGCAGCTCCCTCGCTGTGGCTGCACCAGAACCACGGGGATGGAGCTGGTGAGCCTGAAGGTTGGGTTTAGGCTGAGCTTTGTGTGTTGGGTCCCTTCCCCTGCCCTCACAGCTGCTCTGGGAATCAGGTGTTGTCCTCTGGGCTCAGTCAGACCTGCCAGTGGGGATTTGGGATCCTGGCTTCTGGGAAGAGGCTGTCGGAGGGTCACGGCTCAGGGCTGGGGAGATGTCTGTGGTTCCCTGTCCTGCTCCCTCCCACATCGCTGGGTCAGACCTGTGGTTCTGCCAGCCCGTTCCACAGAGGGGTTTTCTGGCCACCCTGTTGATTCAAACAGAACTGAGCAATATAAATAAATGTCCCATCCAAAGAAACCATTCCCAGTTGGCTGAAGTCCCTTGGGTGGCCACAGCCTTGGCTCTGATGTGCAGCTGTGTCATTGCTGGGGGTGTCACCTGGGGGCCAATGAGGAAGAGCAGCACTGAGTCTGTGATGCTTCATCCTTTTGGGTACCCATTGGTATGTTTTATGTCTCAATTACTGCAGGTTAAAATCAGCCCTTCATTATTTTTTGCTTTGTTTTCAGGTTACAAACTCATTGGGAGCCATTCCGGGGTGAAGCTCTGCCGGTGGACAAAGGTGTGCTCTCTTTCCTTTTCTCTTTTGGGAAATAAAACAAAGCTAGAGACTTACTCAGGTATTTCACTTTCCCAATGAAATGTCATTTAAAAGTGTGCACAAACCCAAATTGCCTCTTTCCAGCTTTAGTCTTGCATTTCAAGCTGTTAAAACCCCGCTGTGAAGAGTGAGAATGTGACTGTGGCAAAGAGCTGGGAACATCATTTGCTGCTTTTTCCTGTTATTCTTATGTCTGCTAAAATCTCTCCTGCCTGCTGGAATACACGGCAGGAGCAGGACACTGCAGAGGAAAGGGGGAAGGTTCCATCACCAGTGTTTCCATCACCAGTGTGAGGGCTCTGAAACAGGGATAACAGTCCATTGTTCCACCTGGACGGGCACACAAGGATGTTTGAGCCTGTTGTGCTGGGCTGGGACAGTCACTGCTCCTCCACTGGTTTTCTAAATCAGATTTAAACAGTGAGGTGTCGCTTCTTAATGGTAGGACTGTTAAAAATTCCCCTTGTGGGAGTGTGTATGGATGTGGTGGTGTGTAATACCCGTGGGTGTGTACATATGGGAAAGGATAAATACAGATGGAAAAGGGAAACACGGATACAATTTGGGCAAGAGGCTTTTAGGGTATGTAAAAGCCCCTCAGGAAGGGGCTGGTTTCCTAAAACAGGGGAGAAACCACTGAAGAAACATCAAAAGCTGGAAAATGGCACCTGGGGACATGGGTTAGTGGTGGGCTTGGCAGTTCTGGGTTAATGGTTGGACTCCATGGTCTTAGAGGGCTTTGCCAACCTCAATAATTCTATGATATATATGAAAACACCGCCCTCCCAGCCCTGCAGTTGTCTGTTGTAGGCTCTGTAACCTTTTCAAGCAGTGTGCAGACTTAAAAACATTCCCAGCAGAGGCACAAAGCCCTGGAGAACAACGTTCAGCTACTTGAGGGTGTTTGTAGTTTCAGTTGTTCTCTGCAGGTCTCTGAGAAACTCAGGATTTGAAAGTTGGTCTCTAATGTTGTACATTTGGGGAGTAACATTGATTCAGAGGATCACAGATCATTTAGGTTGGAAAAGAGCTCCAGGATGGGGTCCAACCATCCCCCCAGCACTGCCAAGGCCACCTCTGACCCAGGTCCCCACGTGCCACATCTACAAGTTTTGAAACCCCTCCAGGGATGGGGACTCCCCCACTGCCCTGGGCAGCTGGGCCAGGGCTGGATAATCCTTTCCATGAAGAAATTTTTCCAGTATCCAACCTGACCCTGCCCTGGCACAGCTGGAGGCCGTTCCCTCTCCTCCTGTCCCTTGTTCCCTGGAGCAGAGCCCGACCCCCCCCGGCTCCCCCCTCCTGTCAGGGAGTTGCAGAGTCAGAAGGTCCCCCCTGAGCCTCCTTTTCTCCAGGCTGAGCCCCCCTAGCTGTTCCTGGTGCTCCAGCCCCTTCCCCCTCCACGCTGCAGAACACCAACCCCTCCAGCATTCCTGGGATGAGAACCTGTGGGAATCAGCCCCTCATTAACGTGCCAGCACATCTCTAATTCCTGCACCGTGGAGATGATCAGCCCTTGGTCTCTCAGCTCTGTTTTGCTGCTTGATTAACTCTGTTTGTTTTGGAAAGAGCCCTTGGAATGGCAATCACCAGCGAGTTTGTATTGTCAGTGAACTGTTTCATCAAAAACCTTGTTCTCCTCGCCCAGCCCTGTATTGTCAGGAGTGTTTGTGAGATACATCGATCCCACTGATGCTTCTGCTGCTCACTCTTACAAATATTTCTCTCCTGTGTCATTTTTAGTGTCAGAGAAGGCCGTGAAATGTTCAAAGAAAAACTTGTCAAGCTCCAATGTTGCGACTGAGAAAAGCAGAGAAGCTGCTTTTATTAAAGAACCAGAATTTAATGCAGTGCTGTAAAGCCATTTCACAAAATAAATAGCAGCTCTATGTGCTTAGATAGGCCCACACTATTTTTAGCTTAAGCAGGAATTGAATGTAAAGGCTTCTAATAAATTGAGCTGAAATTGGTTCCGGGCAGTGGCTTTGCCTGAGGTTCACACCAGTGTGTGAGTGTCTCCAGGAGCCTCGTTGGAGATTTGGATCACTGGAAAGCAGGAGCAGGGCTGGCAGGATTAGCATTAAATAGACTTTTATAGGGATATCACAGATAGCAAAGATTGTGTTCTGTCAAATCCCGGAAAAGAGCGAAAAAACCTGCACATTTTCAGAAGAGTCCCAAATATAACTTGCTCTCCTGGAATTTGTGGATCTCCTGGAGTCTCTGCTTGAAGAATGGGTAGAAAAAACAGCATTTCCCACCTTGTTTCATCTTCTACCTGTACAACCAGCCTGTGCATATCTTAGGGGTTACCTGGATATTTTTCCCTGCTGCTCAGTGAAGACTTTCCTTTGGGTCACCAGGATCCTTCAGGTGTATAAGAAGCTGCTGTGTCATACTGCAAATTTGCTTTTGAGAGTAGTAGCTTCTTTCTCATTTATTGTTATTTAACTGAGCTAACGAAAGGCAGTCTTTGCTCCGAGCAGCTTGAATGCTAACCAGGAGTTAATTCCCATTGGGAAGCTGCTGTGGTTGTGCTGGGAAGGGAAGTGCAGAGTCCTGCTGGAGCCACTGCTGGGTGTGAATGAGGGTTTATAAGGTCAGGGTGTTTATTTAATTTAGTGCTGGAAGAAACACTCTGGCAGACAAATGAAAGGAATGGAGTGTTCAGTAGGGCAGCCTTAAAATTGATCCTTGTTACTCCTTTTACAACAACACTTCTTGCATCTCCAGTGGCTTCTCCTGCTTTTTTTCGTGGGCTGGTTCAGTGAAAGCTCCACGTTGTTGTGCTGGGGTCTGCAAGGGAGAAGGTACTGATGAGATTAAAGTTTTTTCTCCTCCAAAACAGTTATAAATTTGACCTCATAAATGCAGTTTGCCTGTAGGGCTGTGTACAAACAGTCACACTGTTGATAGGTGTGTGCTGGGAATCGCTCCGAGCGCGTGGCACTGGTGGCACTGGTGTCCTGGGTGACCTCGCAGTGTCACTCACAGGGCTTTGAACTGGAGTTCCTGGGGACTGAAGGGAGCAGATTTCAAACTGTGCCCTCACTGTGGTTGGACAGGCTGTGCTCTCACTGTGCTGGTGTTGTGTTGTCTGTCTGTGCTCTCACTGTGCTGGTGTTGTGTTGTCTCTCTGTGCCCGCAGTCGATGCTCCGGGGCCGAGGGGGCTGCTACAAACACACCTTCTATGGGATCGAGAGCCACCGCTGCATGGAGGCCACCCCCAGCCTGGCCTGTGCCAACAAGTGTGTCTTCTGCTGGAGGTAAAACCCTGGGGGGGTTCACCTTGGGGTTGGGGTCTGCTAAACAGAGACAATGCTGTCCCTGACCAGCAGGGAGCCCTGGGGGCTGAGGAGGCCAACGGGATCCTGGGGAACACCAGGAAGAGCATTTCCAGCAGGGCAGGGAGGGATCCTGCCCCTCTGCCCAGCCCTGGGCAGGCACATCTGCAGGGCTGGGCCCAGCTCGGGCTCCTCAGCACAGCAGGGCCAGGGAGCTCCTGCAGCGGGGCCAGCGCAGGCTGTGAGGATGAGGAGGGCACTGGAGCATCTCCCTGAGCAGCAAAGGCTGAGGGAGCTGGGGCTGTTCAGCCTCCAGAGCAGACCCTGAGAGGGGACCTCCCACTGTGTGTCAGGGGCTGCAGGGAGGGGGCAGAGGATGGAGCAGGCTCTGCTCGGGGGGCCCAGCAATGGCACAGGAGGAACGGGCAGGAACTGATGCCCAGGAAGCTCCAGCTGGACAGGAGGAAGAACTTCTTCCCTGGGCAGTGCCCCAGCTCTGAACAGGCTGCCCAGGGAGGGGCTGGAGTCTCCTCCCTGGGGAGATTCCAGAGCCCTCTGGACACAATCCTGTGCCCTGTGCTCTGGGCTGGCCCTGCCTGAGCAGGGAGGTGGCACCAGTGACCCACTGATGGGTCTCTTCCAGCCTGACCCACCCTGGGATTCTGTCCCTGTCCTGTTCTCAAAGCACCCCCGGGCAGGGTGGGTCTGGAGAGAGGCTGAGGCTCAGCAGGAACACCAGCAGTGGTGTGAGTGCTCTGAGTGGGAGGACAGGGAGGTTATTTTTGAGCTCTTTTGTCTTCTACCTTGCTTGTTAATTCATCCCATTGGAGCTGTGTTTCCTTTGGGATTTATGCCTTACCCCAGGTTGCCAACAACACCCATTCCATCCCTCAGCCTGAGTGTCCCACATCCCAGTAAATAATCCTGAGCGACCTGGGCTAGTGGAAGGTGTCCCTGCCCATGGCAGGGGTTTGGAACGAGATGAGCTTTAAGGTCCCTTCCAACCCAAACTGTTCGAGGATTCTGTGATAATATTTCCATGCAAAACCAGCCAAACTCCTCTGAATGCCCCTTTCTGTCTCTCATAGTCTTCAAGTTTTAATAATGCAAATATTTCATGAGAACATTTAAAGCACTGCTCTAACTCTGAAGGCACTTTGAAGCTGTTTCCAGCGTTGGTGTTAAGTTTAAGCACCAGACGCTGGTCATCCTGTTAAGTTTGCATTTGGGAGTCTATTCCAAAATGTTAATTGGTGCTCTTGATGGGCTTTCCTCATATCCTGGCTGGAAAGGACTCAGCAAATGGAATGTTTAATGAGAAAGTTCTGCTGCTTTCCTTCAGAGCAGGGTAATGGTTGGGAAGAAGAATGTGCCACTCGTGTCTCTTTTTTTCCCACGTCTCAGCTCCCGGTGCTGCAGTGAATTCTGCAGGGTGCCTGGGAATGCTGGGCATGGGATTGTCCCTCTGGCCCTACACAGAAGGTACACCCCAAACAGCAAAGAGGAGGAGGTGGTTTGTTCCCAGTATTACTCCACAGGGAATTTAACACAGTTTCTCTTCAAATTGAGGTGATTCAGTATTTCTTAGCAGCAGCCTGTGTGGGGAGCATGGACTGAGTCAGGGAAGTCCAGCAAGTGTAAATTGGAGAGTGCAGTAATTGGGATAAATTGGTTCATTCCACGTGCCCCTAACTCATCATCCTGTAACTGTCACTCTGCACTTCAGAGGGATCCTGGAAGCAGCAGCCCTAGGATGCTGATTTTCATGATGGTTACAACCTGAATGCAAGGAAACAGCTTTCCAGGGGGCTCTGCTGACAGGTTTTATGTATTTATTCATATATTTACCTCCTGTGGGTGAAATGGGGGGCAGGAGATTAACTCTCCCACGTGGAATGCAGCTGGTTGTCTTATACTTCCATGGGAAGCTGGAAGTTTTAAGTTGGAAGATGTAAGGCTCAGGTTGAGGCTCATCCCAGGGCTTGCTTTAAAATGTACTTAAGCTTGACATAAACCAGACCTGCTGCTGAAAGAAGTTTTCTTCTTTTTGGTTACTTTTGCAGATCCTGTGCTTGGGCTGCTGCAGCCTTTGTGTGGCTGTGATTTGGTGTGTCCCATAAATAATAAGAAGGATTCTTATTTATTATATTCCACACATAATAAGAAGGATTTCCATCCTTTCTTCCTACACCAAATCCCTGCTGATCCTGTGCCAGCCCAGCTCACAAACCCTGCAGTCAGGCCTATCTCTGCACTTTATTTTAAACCCACCACACCTTGCAGAGTCTTAACCATGTGAGACTGAACATGGGATTGCAGGTGCAGGATAAACACATCCCCTCCTTAGCAGCCACTTGCCATCTGTGCTGTTGGAGACACACAAAGCAATAGTTTTGATCTGCTGTTGGCAGAATGTTTTTAATACCACTTTTACGCCTTGCTGCTCTCCCTGGGCAGCTCTGCCTTGCAGATAAGGCCTCTGTGATTTTTTTTTTTTCCCCTGATCTCTTCTTTCAGGGTTTTGACATTTGTAGAGCCTGCCAATGTTTCCAACTGCACAACCACTGCAGCTCTCCCAGGATGGCTGAGGAAAAGGCCAAGGAGCCTGTTTGTTTTCTCTTCCTCACTTTGGCAAGAAATGCTGCAGTTGAGCTGCTTTCCCTGGGAATTGGATGTCAGGGGAGTTGGCTGCTTGGCACTGACATGTTTTGGCCCCAAACCAGTCATGGAATCATGGAAGGGTTTGGGTTGGAAGGGACCTCAAAGCTCATCTCATTCCAACCCCCTGCTGTGGGCAGGGACACCTTCCACTGGACCTCATGGGTGGAGCCAGTGTCCAAACACCTGCAGAAAATTAGGGTGTAATTAAAATAAATAAAATTGATTTACAAATAAAATTTGTAAAAGATGTAGCTTGGCTCTGCACTGGAGCCCTTCCTTTTCCTTGTCCCTGGGAGCAGTAGATCCCTGGGAGCTGCCACTCCTGCCAGTGCCCCCTCACTGGCTCGTGCTGCCCAGTCTGTCCCCTCAGAGCTGGCTCAGAGGTTGGGGCTGAAGGATTATGTGGCAGCTTTTTTGGAGGACAGAAAAAACAGACTGAGAGATGGGAATGACCTGGAGCTGTGTCAGGGCAGGGTCAGGTTGGATCTCAGCCAAAGGTTCTTCCCCCCGAGGCTGGTTGGGCACTGCCCAGGCTCCCCAGGGCAGTGGGCACAGCCCCAAGGCTGCCAGAGCTCAGGGAGGGTTTGGGCAACGCTCTCTGGGATTGTTGGGGTGTCCTGGATGGTCCCTTCCAGCTCAGGATATTCCAGGATTCTGTGAGCTGGATTGTTTGGTGTTCCCCAGGGCAGCCTGGAGCTGTGCTGAACTCCTGGGCTGGAGGGGGGAACCCACACCTTAATTACTGCAACATAATTGTGCTCACAGAGGGAGTCTGTCCCTCCCCATCCCTGCTCTGTAGTGTCTCTTTAGCCTGATTGCCTAAATGGAGCTGTGCAAGTGGCCAAATCTTTTAATCAATTAGAGCAAGAGAGGATTCTGAGGCTTCCTGACCCCAAACTGCAGCACAGTCACCAGACAGAGCTCCTGGGATGAGCTGATCTGAGTGTCTGAAACCCAGTCAATTATTGTGGAGAGGTGGAACAGCAAAATCAGATTGAAATTAATAGAGTTTATTACTTTTGCATCTGAGGAGGAGGCAAAGCAGACAGAGTGAAATATCCTGTGGAGGAATTGGCTCATATTTCTTGTGCTGTAACTTTGCTTATACCTGTACCTGAAGGTTTCAGGTTTCCAGTAGAAAACAGCTGAAGTTCTTCTGTACACACACTAAATAAGGGTGTGGCCAAAAGCCACTGGAAACCCTGCAAAATGAAGAGATTCAAAATGAATAATCTCTCCTAGGAGAACTACTTCAGGTCATTAAAAAATGAAGAAGAAACTGAAAGCAGATTAAAACAAAAGCTTCTCCTCAATAAGTAACTTGACTCCAGAGGCTCAGTCCTTCAGGGAAATGGGGAGTATTGTGATATCAAAGGAGTTGTCACTGCAGGTGTGGAAAACTTGGAACCTCAGAGAGTCTCTGCATCTCCAGCCACCAGTCCTTGCTCTGCTGAGTTGTTGCTCTTTTCTCCCTGGTTATTTTATTTACAGGAGCGAGGTATTGTGATATATTGTTTCCTTCACAGTTGGTTCTTCACTGGTTTGTTGATTTTTGGGCTCTTGAAATAACCATAGAAATGGGACAGGAATCATGGAATGTACCCAGTTCATGCCCCTGTCAGTGGTAAAGAGTCTCTGCCAGCTCAGTAATCAGAGGCATTTCTGGGAGAAAATGTTCCTCAGGTGAAATGGGATTGAAATCTCTGATTTTCATCCTGTAGCACTGGGCATTTTCCTGGACCTGGGCTTGTTGAAGGCTTCTGTAGTTGTCACTCTCAGCTCCCAAATTTTTGGCATTGGTGGGGAATATATTCAGATTATTGGCTGGGAGATGCTCACATGGGTTGGGGTAGTTCCTGCAGGGGGTTGGTGCCCAGGCACCAACTTTTTGGTGTGTTTTGACACTCAGATTAGTTGTGAAATGGCCTTGGAGGCTGTGCCAAGCAGGATTGTGCTGGGAGGGGATGGGATGGGATGGGGGGACACAAACACATGGCAGACACCTGGGAGGTGCTGAGCATCATTTTTTGGGAACTGCTCTGCAAAAACTGAGCATTTCCTGGAGTTGGGATGTATTTTCTTCATCAGGGAGCAGCTTCTGTCCTTAAGATTTCCAAAGTGTCAGTTGGAAGAGGATCACAGAATCCTTTTGGTTGGGAAAACCCTTGGAAATCCTTGAGTCCAGCCATTCCCTCAGCACTGCCAAGGCCACCACTGACCCATGTCCCCAAGTGTTAACCCACATCCACTGTGTTAAACCCCTCCAGGGATGGGACTCCCCCACTGCCCTGCCACATGAAGACTTCCATGAAGAAATTTTCCCTTCTATCCAATCTGAACCACCCCTGGCACCCTCTGATACTTTGAGCCAACTTATCCACCATGCTCTGGGGTGACTGAACCACCCCAGGGAGTTTAAATATCTCTAACCTGTTCTCTTTCCAGCCCAGTCTGTGCTCTTCCTCTTGCTCTTAGGAAAAAGCAGAAGAAAAGCTGCAAAGAGGTTTCTTGTCATCCCAGAGGAACATTAAACGTGGGTTGCTTGTGCACTGGACAAGCTTTTTCCTTGTTCCTCGTTTTCCTCCTCCCATCATTACAGGGAGAGTCATCCTTGGGAGCCCTTTTGTGTGTCCTTTTCTAGTTGTGTCTGATTTTTGCCCTTCCCCTCTCTGAGGTTGCCCCTGTGTTCCTGTGCTGGTTTTGTTTGCAGCTGAGGGATCACAAGGTTGCAGAAGAGCAGGTTGGGTTTTGTTATCCTTTGTATCTTCGCTTTTTATTGCTGCAGGTTGTGCTTCTGCCTTAATGGGGTTTAAAAACCTGCCAGTTCTCCTCAACTCCTTTGCCCTTAAGCTCTTCTCCTCTGGGATCTCCCCTGATGGTTCTCAGGGTTCACTGAAGATGCTTCTTGGGCTCTCTTTAATTTTATTCTGCTCTTCCCCTCCCTGAGAAGGGCGTGCTCTGTCCTTTCCTGGGCGCTGCCACCAGCACTTCCTTCATGTTCCCCCCCAGGGATCACCAGCTCTGGAGCAAATGATACTTTATCCCCGAGTTCCACTTGCCCTCAAAGATTCTTGGAAGGCTTTAATAATCCTTTGAAGAAGGCACAAAGCAAAAGCAGATTTATTAAACCAATCCCCAAGCGACTGGGACGGGGATGCACATCCACCTTCACAGAGGTCTCAGGGACTGCCAGGGGCACTCTGGGAATGCTGTCACCTAATCCTGGTGGATCAAAGGTCTGGTAACACTGCTGGATGGTCAGCCAGGGAAAATTGGGAGCCAGCTGGGAGATTCCCACCGTGTTTGCTGCAGTCCTGCCTCACTCCATGGTGGTGGGATGCTGCAGCAGTGAAATGTCTCTGAAGGATCAAAGCAAACCTTTTCCACACTTGGAATCTCTGCTAAAATCAAGGAGTTCTGGTGTGTGTGGCTTTGGGTGGGATTTCTTTTTTCCTTGTGTTATTTTGGGAGGGAAGGAAGGAATCCCATGCACAGGTACCAGCTCTAGACTTGAGTCACCAGTGAGGCAGATGAGGAGGAGGGTCACAGAGCCTGGGGGGGAATGGGAAGGTGACAGTGGAATCCTGTGTGTTCTGGGGACCATAAAACAATCTCAGCCACAATCTCAGCTTTTTTTATGCTCCTATTAACAGAGCAGCTTTTTTGCCAAATAAGCTGTTTTGTAGACATGACCTGCTATGTTTATTAAACAGTTAGGACGTGTTCAAAATTCAGGGCCTGTTGGACACCAACAGCTGTCCAGGGTGTATCCAGAGCTTATTGATTTTCTGCCAACTTGCCCTATAAAATATACAAGGTACAAGTTATGTAGTTAAACATGTAAGAGTTTTATAAATGCATTTTATAGCTGACATTCAGAAAACTTGCCATGTTGGCAGATGAGGGAGAAAAAGGGGAAATACAGAAAGCAAAGCTGTTTTGGCTTAAAGGATCCTTGAGGTGGTAAAGTTTGGGAGCAGTGCTTGAATCTTTGCTCTTGAAGTAGATGAAGAAATGTTTGAGCTAAGGCTGGGTTTAGTGAGGCTGGGTCTGGAATTTGGGCTTTAGCACTGGCAGAGTGTTCAGGTTTTCACTTGGAGAATCCCAGAATGGTTTGGGTTGGAGGGACTTTGAAGCTCATCCCATTCCACCCCCTGCCATGGGCAGGGACACCTCCCACCAGCCCAGGTTGCTCCAAGCCCCATCCAACCTGGCCTTGGACACTCCCAGGGATGGGGCAGCCACAGCTTCTCTGGGCAACCTGTGCCAGGGCCTCCCCACCCTCACAGGGAACAAATTCTCCCTAATATTTCATCTACTCTTAGTTTGAATCCGTTCCCCCCTGTCCAAAGTCAGTGGGAGTCTTTTACTTGTCTCCAGCAAGTGTTGGATCAGCCACTTCATCCTGAGAAAGTGCTTCCCTCCCTTAGTTAACTGCTGGGCTCATGTCCTGATGTCCCTGGAGCTGGCAGGCTGAATGCAGCAGGGCACCTCCCAGCCCTCTCCTTGGCTGCCTTCCAGGGCTGCTGGAGAGTGGGGCTGGAAACAGGGGGCACCGGGGCAGAAATCTCAGTGTCAGGGGGATATTTTGCTTGGCCTTGTTTCCCTGTCCGGAGCTGTGTTAATCCAACAGCTTCTGTGACAGACACTGCCAAATGTGCTGCTCTTTTCTCAGTGGATTATTCCGAGTGCAGTGGGGCTGGGAGGGAAAAGGGAAGGAGCTGTTGCAGCATGTTTTGGAAAGAAACAGTAAAGATGGAGAGAGAACAAGGAAATTCATTGACTTAAGATGATCCTTAAAGGCTGATGATCCCTGTTAGATGCTGATCCAAGTGCAGCAGGAGTGGGGGATTGCTCAGAGCAGGGGACAGGCTCTCTCTGGGCTGTGTTTGTCAGGTGGGACCATGATGGGGACCCACCAGTTGCTTGTGGTGTCTCATTTGCTGGTCAGGATGCAGGTTGTTTTCCCAGCTGACTTACAATGGTTTTGTGACATCTTCTCATGCTAATAAATAAGAAACGGGGAGAAACTCTGCAGATCTTCCAGGTGCTTGTGTGGATTTCCCTGGGTGGGCTTTTGCTGGTTTTGGGTGCAATGATCCTTTCCAGGCAAGGTTGGCTTCCTAACCCAATGTGCTGTTCCTCAGAGGGAAGATCTGTGGGGTTTCTCCTTCAGTCTGGGACATGAACCACATCCACCACTGTGGTACAGTGCAGACTTCCTGCTCTCAGAGTTTGAAGCATCCTGCCCTAATCTGCCTTGTTGCCACAGCACAAAACAAAGACTGGATTAGAAACAAATCCTGTCCTTCTCAGGGTGGTGGCTGGTGCCTTTAAAATGGAACTAAAGGTGTCCTGGGACCTTCCTTCTCCAGAGCTTTCTGCAGCCGTGGTCAGAAGAGGAGGTAGAACCAGTTTTCCTCTCTTTACAGAGGTTTTCGTGGCTGCAGAGCATCATTTTAGCTTAGAAACCTTTCACCTGGGGTTCAGAATAGGTATGTTAAGTTTAATAGGAACTGCAAGGTCCACTTTTCCCCTCTGGGGAGAGCAGAGCCTGGAAGGAGAGAGGTGTGAGAGTGGTGGTCAAGGATGACACCCAAAAGTTGGGTCAGCAGCAGGATGTTGCTGGGAATTTCTGGTGGCTTTTAATGTTGTTAAACACTGCCAGAGGTGGCAGGTGGGTCCTCCCAGGTGTGTTCAAATGCCAGTGAGTGCCTTGTCTCCTCTCCCTTCAGACACCACACGAACCCCGTGGGCACAGAGTGGCGCTGGAAGATGGACCAGCCGGAGCTGATCCTGCAGGAGGCCATGGAGAACCATCAGAACATGATCAAGCAGTTCAGAGGTAACTTCTCCTCCCACCCCATCCGTGGTGCTTTGGGAAGACAACCAGCAGTGGCACCTTCAGAGCCTGGGGGAGAACATTCTGGTCGTCTGGGAGGGAGATGTGAGGTGTGGGACATCACAGAGATGGGGGAGAAGAAACTCCTGGGGCACATTTATTGTTTTCTGAGCTGTTTGACCTTTCCCTCAGCCACTGGGTATCTGGTGCTGCCTGCAGGGGAGGAGGGGAGTTGCACCTTGGTGGTTGTTACATCTTCTCCCTTGGTGAGCACAGAGATTTTCCACAGTGGTTAAACTGGTTTGGATGATGGGAAATCTTGGCTCTTCTGTACAAGTGAGGTTAAAAGTGATCAGGAAATACCCAGCCTTAATCCCCTGCTTTTGTGTTAGTTCTGAAACTTCCAGGTTGTGTTTTCCCATTAATAATTAAGCAGCAGCATTCAGGGTATTCCTGTTTTCAGGAATTATTCAAACACCTCTTTCTGACTGAAGCTGCAGTTATCCCCTCTCAGTAGCACTGCTTTTCCTTCAAATAGGAACCTGCTGTGAGCTGGATGTTTATTCATTCTGTCTCTGTGTAGACATGGCTGTTTTTTGAGAGGTTTTATTTGATTTCCCAAATGTGATAAACTTGGTTGGGTTGGATATCTTAGAGACCTTTTCCATGATTCAGTGAGTGTAAGCAGTGGAAGGTTCTGGAGGAGTCTGTAACCCCCTGTCAGCCCACGCTGAACCCACAGACCCACCTGCTGTGGTAGAACAAGGGACCACAGACTTGGGGTTCTCTTTGGAAGGGTCAGCTCAGACATCAAAATCACCTTCTTCAGCCAAGGTGGTGCCCAGAGAGGTGGGAGTCTCCAACCTTGAAGTCTTTCAAGTCCTTTAAGTAAAGCCATTATCACCCTGGACTAAGGAATAACCTTTTCTTTCCTTTACTACTCCCTGCTCTCTTCCCAAAAAGGGCTGGGAACAGGGAATCATTAGGGACAGACTTGTCAGCATCTGAAAATATTGCTTAAGTGTCAAGAGGCCTGTAAGGACATCCCAGTTCTCTCCTTTGGGAGCTTCTTCTCCATTAAACAAATTCATAAATATTCCCTGAAATGTGCCTGTGCATCCTCAGCACAGTTACCCTTGACCTGGAACTGTGAAAGGAAAAAGAGCAGGGGGGGAAAAAATGGTTCTGGACTAGAAATGAGCTGCAAAGTGGGAAAAGAAAAGCTGTGTTACTTTTTTCAGAGTGATAGATGGCAACATGCTTCCTGGCTTGGGAGCCAAAGGTCTATTACGGAGAAGAAAAATCAGTAGGAAAAGCCCAGGAGCTGCTGTTCCATGTTGGGGATGTTACACTGTCACTTCCCTGGGGTGCCTGTGGAAATATTGTTGGAGCAGAATCAGTGAAAGCAAAATGGAGCTGGAGCAGTGTGGGGGGAGCTGAGGCAGGGACAGGGAAAGGATGCAGGAAGGGATGGAAGTCCCCAGTGGGCTGTGCCAGGCTGGAGCTGCCTCGGGCACAAAACATGGCCATGTCTTTCCGGCCAACTTAGCAGCTCCACAAACAGCAGGTGGATTTTATTTGGATTGATTTTTGAAACAAAAAAAAACCCATCAGAACCCCACAAACCACCCCAGGGCTTGAGCAGTGAGGAGCAGGTTGTTGTGGGGCAGGAGGGCAGGTTGGGCTCTGTCCCTCTGTGCTGTTACTGCTGGGGGATCTCGAGGGCTGGGGACAGTTTTGGGCTCCTCAGGACAAGAGAGACACTGAGGGGCTGGAGCGTGTCCAGGGAAGGGGCTGGAGCAGCAGGAGCAGCTGAGGGAGCTGGGGGGGCTC